TTGAAATACCAGCAGGGTCACTCATGGTGGACAGGTTTCAGTGGCGCTTCTAGACTAAGATAGACTTGGAAGATGGAAGGGGCCATCCACTTCTCAAAGAATTGGCCAGTGAAAACCTTATGAATAGGAGTGAAACACTGATATATTACTGGAAAACTTTATGAATAGCCCAGAAACATTGTCCAATATAGTGCCAGAAGATGAGCCCTTCAAGTTAGAAGGCACTCAGAATATGACTGGGGAAGAGCTGTCTCTTCAAAGTAGAGTCCACCTTAATGACGTGGATGGACTAAAGTTTTCGAGACCTCCATTTTCTGATGTGGCATGTCTCAAGATGAGAAGAAACAGCTGCAAACATCCATTAATAATTGGAACACAGAATGTACAAACTATGAATCTAGGAAAATTTGAAGTTGTCAAAAATGAAATGGATAAGATAAATATACTAGGCATTTTGTTGTTGTTGTTATATGCCATCATGTCAGACCCAACTCATAGCGACCCCTCCTTGGGTTTCCGAGGCAGTATCACTGTAGAAGTAGATTGCCCCATCTTCCTTCTGAAGAGTGGCTGGTGGGTTTGAACCACCAGCCTTCTGATCAGCAGTCAAGTGCCTTAGGCACTATGCTACCAGAGCTCCCTTCCTAGGCATCAGTGAGCTAAAATGGAATGGTTTTGGCCATTTTGAATCAGACAACCATATGATCTACTATGCATGGAATGAGTAATTGAAGAAGAATGGTGTGGAATGCATCATCACAAAGAATATTTCAAGATCTATCTTGAAGTACAATGCTGTCAGTGATAGGCTAATATCCATACACCTATGAGGAAGACTAGGAGCTCTGGTAGCATAGTGCCTAAGGTGCTTGACTGCTAACCAGAAGGCTGGTGGTTCAAACCTACCAGCCACTCCTCCGAAGGAAGGCTGGGCAATCTACTTCCATAGTGATACTGCCTCAGAAACCCACGGAGGGGGTCGCTATGAGTCAGGTCTGACTCCACAGCACATAACAACAACAACAACACAAGGGAAACTAGTTAATATTACTATTATTCAAATTTATGCACCAAACACCAACGTCAAAGATGAGGAAATTGAAGATTTTTACCAACTTCTGCAATCTGCAAATGACCAAACATGCAACCAAGATGTGTTAATTATCACTAGTGATTGGAATGCAAAAGTTGGAAACAAAGAAGAATCACCTGTAGTTGGAAAATATGGCCTTGGTGATAGAAATGACACTGGAGATCTCATGATAGAATTTTGAAAGACCAATGACTTATTCACTGCAAATACATTTTATTCAACAACACAAACAGCAGCTATACACGTGGACTTTGCCAGATGGAGTACACAAGAATTAGATCAACTACATCTTTGGAAAGAGGTGATGGAGAAGCTCAACATCTTCAGCCAAAACAAGGCCAACACCTGACTGTGGAACAGACCATCAGTTGCACATATGCAAGTTCAAGTTGAAGTTGACGACAATTAAAACAAGTCCATGAGAGCCAAAACATGACCTTGATTATATTCCTCCTGAATTTTGGAAACCATTTAGAGAATAGATTTGATGTACTGAACCCCTATGACTGAAAACCAGAGGAATTGTGGGATGACACCAAGAACATCATTCATGAAGAAAGCAAAAGGTCATTAAAAAGACAGGAAAGAAAGAAAAGACCAAAATGGATGTCAGAAGAGACTCTGAAACTTGCTCTTCAATGGAGAGAAGCTAAAGCAAATGGAAGAAATGACAGAAGATTTCAAAGAGCAACTCAAGAAGATAAAGTCAATCATTATAATGAAATGTGCAAAGACCTGGAATTAGAAAACCAAAAGGGAAGAACATGCTTGAAATTTCTCAAGCTGAAAGCACTGAAGAAAAAATTCAGGCCTCAAATTCCTGTATTGAAAGACTGTATGAGTAAAATATTGAATGATGCAGGAAACATCAAAAGAAGATGGAAGGAATACACAGAGTCACTGTACCAAAAAGAATTGGTCAATGTTCATCTATTTCAGGAGGTGGCTTTTGATCAAGAACCAATGGTACAGGAGGAAGAAGTTGAAGCTACAATGAAGGAATTGCCAAAGAACAAGTGTCCAGGAATTGATGGAATACCCGTTGAGATGTTTCAACAAACAGATGCTGTACTGGAGACACTCATTTGTCTATGCCAAGAAATTTGGAAGACAGCTACTTGGCTGGAAAAATCCATATTTGTACCCATTGCAAAGAAAGGTGATCCAACAGAATGTGGAAATTATCAAACAATATCATTAATATCACACACAAGTAAAATCTTGCTGAAGATAATTCAAAAATGGTTGCAGCAATATATTGACAGAGAACTTCCAGAAATGCAAGCTGGATTCAGAACAGGAAATGGAGCAAGGGATATAATTGCTGATGTCAGATGAATCTTGGCTGAAAGCAAAGAATACCAGAAAGATGTTTACTTGTGTTTTTTTGAACAAGGGGATACTGCATTGCTTAAAATCAGGAAGGGAGGGTGTCAGGGTTGTACACTTTCACCATACTTACTCAGTCTGCATGCTGAACCAATAATCTGAGAAACTGGAGTGTGTAAGGCCACAGTAAGGAGAAGAGGATGCACAAAAGTGAGGTTAAAGAGAAGTTTTTATTCTGAGTTTCTGGGTGAGGTTTACGGGTCCCCAAGAGGGGCCCGAGAAGTCGCACCCCCGGGCAGGGGGCATGGATTTTTATAGACAGAGAGAGGACCTATTTGGGGACACCAGGGAAATGACAGTGTACTCTAAGGAAATGGCAGGGTCCAATTAGCTGTTAGCATGGGTCTGTACTTAATTAGCATGAGGGGGCTTCAAAAGAGGAAGTTTGCCACTGCATGGGACTTTCCAGTCTGGGCGGGTTCTGTCACTTTGGTTGTCTTATCAGGCTGTCTCATCAGGGCCTGACACCCGGAGGAAGCTGCTAACTGAAATGTTGGTGGCTTGGGTTTGCTTCAGCCTAACAGAGTGTATGACTCATTAACAACCTGTGATATGCAGATGACACAACTTTGCTTACTGAAAGTGGGGATGACTTGATGCACTTACCGATGAAGATTAAAGCCTACAGTCTGCAGTAGTCTCTACATTACATCTTAGCATAAAGAAAATGAAAATTCTCACAGCTGGATCCACACAACAGCATCACAATAAATGGGAAAAGATTGAAGTTGTTAAAGATTTCATATTACTTGGTTCCGCATTCAACACCAGTGGAAGCAACAGTCAAGTGATGAAGAGCAAAGATGTCTCCTTGCAGACTGAGGTGCGCCGAACCCAAGCCATGGTATTTTCAATCGCCTCATATGCATGTGAGAGCTGCACGATGAACAAGGAAGACCAAAGAAGAGTTCATGCTTTGGAGTTGTGGTGTTGGCAATGAATGCTGAAAGTACCATGGACCGCCAAGAAAACTAACAAATCTGTCCTGGAAGAAGGGCAGCCGGAACACTCCTTATAAGCGAGAATGGCCAGACTTCGTCTGACCTACTTTGGTCATGTTGTCAGGAGGGACCATTCCTTAGAGAAGGGTATCATGCTGGTAAAGTGGAGAGTCAGTGAAAAAAGGGAAGGTCCTCAACAAGATGGATTGACATGGTGGATGCAACGATGGGCTCAGGTGTGGCAAGGATTGAGGCTTGCACAGGACTGGGCAGTCTTCATTCTGCTGTACATATAGGGTCACTATGAGGTGGAGCCAACTTGATGGCACCTAATAACAACAACAACAATGGGGCTTTTGAATTCTGATGATTTCCATATCTTGACTTGACTTATGGTTACATGGGTCTTATTTTGGGATTAATTATTTAGCTACATATTTATGCCTTACATGTTTTCTGTATGTGTGTTATACTTACATTTTTAAAATGTTTTATGTTTACATTTTTTTAAATGTTTTACAAAATTTCATGACAATATATATATTTGAAAATTATGAAGGGGTAAATGCCATCCATTGTTTTTCTTTGTTCTCTTTTCCTAGATATCCTCAGGACCCCATATTGTTCAAGGCCCTCTGGAATGACATAACTCAATAAGCAGAATCTTATGCTGAGTCTGTCCCTTTCTAGCCTGGCTCAATTCTTAATGAATGCCCTTGATAAACTGGTCTGTGGCAATGTGTGGATGGCTTGATCTATTAGATATTTCATGTAACACATATGGAAACTTCTAGAGACTTTGTATCAATGGATCAGAGTAGGTGGGGATATTATATTTCATGAAAAGCTGACCAATGATTGTGAAGATGTCATTGTGGAGGGGGCTATAAGGAAAGGAAGAAGAAAGAGACAATGGGAAGCATTTGAAAGTCTGAAAAAGAAACTATTTCATTTGAAGGTATGGCCCCAAAGTTTGTTATCTGGAAAAACATAAAGTTAAATTAAAGTCTTCTAATGCCACTCCTTGGAAGGAAGGTTGGGTAATCTACTTCCATAGTGATACTGCCTCAGCAACCCAAGGAGGGGTTGCTATGAGTCGCGGCCGACTTGACGACACACAACAACAACAAAGTTTTTTCGGGGAGCTCTGATAGTGTAGTGCCTAAGGTACTTGACTGCTAACCAGAAGGCTGGTGGTTCAAATTTACCAGCCACTCCTTCGAAGGAAGGTTGGGCAATCTACTTTCATAGTGATACCACCTTGGAACCCAAGGAAAGGTCGCTATGAGTCAGTTCTCACTTGATGGCATATAACAACAACAACAACAAGCCATGTTTTTTTGAGGAAAAAGGGCCTGGAAATCTACTTCTGAAAATCAGCCAAGGAAAACCCTTTGTAATACAATGGTTTGATCTGCGGTTGATTTGATCTACAACTTGACAACAGATAACTGCTCTTTCGCCCACTCTAGGATTCTGTATGAGTTTCACTAGAAGCAAAGGTGAAGAGTCTCTAGTTCACTTCTACATTTGTACCTTTCCAGATAAAGTTCAGATAGAAATGCAGGTTCTCTTACCGTCCAGCTATAAGGAGCTCTTTCTCCGATGCCTGCTTCCTCATCTTGGTGTAGAGGTCCATGGTGAAGAGGGTGCTGGCACTGTTGAAGATGGAGGTCAAGGAGCTCATGAGAGAGGCCAACATGACTGATAGCATCAGGCCTCGCAGTCCTGAGGCAGAAGAGGGTGCAAGTACTGGTTAGGGGCTAGATCCATGGTCCACAAGAGCCTTGCTAAATAAGAGAGTCATTCAAATATAAATGTCTCATCTGAAACATTTACTAACTGATGTGCCTATCAACACACATCAACATGTGATATTTCCTGTATATTTCCTATTGATAGGAGAATTATCCACTGTAGAATTTTTTTTTTTGTTCTAAATATATGCTTGTGAGGCAGTTGGCTGCTAACTGGAAGGTCGTCAGTTCAACTTACCAGCTTGTCTGCAGGAGGGAGATAGGCAATCTACTTCTGTAAAGATGTACAGCCTTGGAAACCCAGTGGGGGTCACTGTGAGTTGGAATCGATTTGATGGCAGTGAGTTAAATACAGACTTAAAGATGATCTCCTGGAACTTTATTTTGGACAAGAGAAAGAAGTGCAGTGCCACTTTTCTTTGGGGAGGAACTCTTGGCCTCCTAAAGTCTTGAAATAATTGAAGAGGAAGAAACCTGGTAGGTGGTTCAGCTGAAGACATCTTTGGTCTGACAAAGCTGAGACTTTTGAGACATGATGGAAACTTCCTCCTCCAGTTAACTAGGCCCATTAGCAATGCTACTAAACCTCCTAGAGCAGAATGTGGAATGGGGTGGATGTGGTGATGTCATTTGTGAATCATGTTCCTTTCCTCCTGAAAATGCTCATATTTGGCAGGAGAAGAAAGGTCACAAAAGTGTTAGCCAACTTTCGTTAGGCAGAGCTCTGGGAGCATAGTGCCTAAGGCATTTGATTGCTTACCAGAAGCCTGGTGGTTCAAACCCACCAACCACTCCTCGGAAGGAAAGTTGGGCAATCTACTTCCATAGTGATACTGCCTTAGAAACCCAAGGAAGGGTCACTATGAGTTGGGTTCGATTCAACGGCAATGAGTTTGGTTTTTGTTTTTTTGTGTTACAAGATCACCAGTCACTCCTGAGCCCCATGTCCTGCTCTGCTTCTGCTCACCATGGAAATGATCACCTTCTAACATCCTATCTAATTTACATATTTAGTATGTGTGTGATGAATTTTCTCTCTTACAAAACTAGAATGTGAGCTCCAAGACAATAGAGAATTTTTTGTCT